GTTGTTGATAGGAGAGACCTGACAACATTGTATCAAATAACCAGGTTGCTATCAGGGAAGAGATCAACACAGATGAAACCAATAAAAGATGAAGAAGGAAATTTAATTACGAAAGAAGAGAAACAAAGGAAACAATGGGCCGACCACTTCAAGAAGCTCTTAAATCGACCACCACCCCCTGCAACTCGTCCAGAAATACCACCTGCAGCCGCTGAACTACAAGTGAACATAAATCCTTAAACAAAAATGGAAGTCCTGAACGCCATAAAGCTGCTGAAATGTGGGAAAGCAGCAGGACCAGATGCAATCCCACCAGAAGCACTGAAAACAGACGCAGAGACAACAGCGGACATGGTCACACCACTATTGCAGAAGATGTGGAAGGAAGAGTAGGTACCTGTCTATTGATTGGAAGAAGGGTTACCTTGTCAGACTTTTGAAGAAGGGAGACCTCAGTGCTTGCAAGAACTGGCGAGGAGTCACTCTCCTATCCACCCAGAGCAAGCAAAATATTAAGCCGCATCATCCTGGAGAGGCTTAAGGATGCATTGGATTCAAAACTACGACCGAAACAGGCAGGCTTCAGGAAGTACAAATCATTTGCCGACCAAATGGCAATGCCACACTATGTATCATCATAGAACAGAGCATAGAATGGCAGTCAACTCTACACCTCAACTTTATCGACTTTGAGAAGGCCTTTGACAGCGTCGACCGAGAGGTAATTTGGAAACTGCTTCAATAATATGGAATACCGCAAACCTTTATCCGCCTCATTCAACAACTATATGAAGATGCCACATGCCGGCCAAGTAATTCACAATGGGAAGCTCAGTGATGCTTTTGAAGTGAAGACATGAGTAGGAGTGAAACAAGGCTATCTACTATCACCCATGGTATTCCTGATTGTGGTGGACTGGACTGGATCATGCAGCAAACAGTGGGGGCGAGAAGAGTGGGATACTCTGGACTGTGGAAAAGAACCTAGAAGATCTGGATCTCGCCAACGATGACTTGTGCCTGATGTCACACAAACTTGAAGATCTACAGGTGAAAACTAACAAGTTGACAGAAGAGGCGAGGCAGCGAAGGAAGACGGGACTTCAGGTGAATACGGAGAAGACAGAAGTGATGAAGATACCGCACCAACGACTTCAACAGCAACAAAAAACTCCAGTCACCATCAACGGGAGAAACTTAAAGGAAGTAACCTTCTTCACCTATCTAGGAAGCACTGTTTCAACTACAGGCGGCACAGACGAGGATGTCAACGCCAGTCAGGATCGGGAAGACAGCAAGAGAGGCGTTCATTAGCCTGAAACCAGTGTGGAGATCTTCTGCACTCAACATAAAGCGTGAACAAGATCCAGATTTTCAACACCAACGTCAAGTCAGTGCTTCTGTATGGTTCAGTGACTTGGCGCTTTACAAAAGGTATTCCCAACAAACTACAGACATTCATCAACAACTGCCTACTCTGGCTCGTTACTGAAAATCAGATGGCCAGAATAATCAGAATAAACAACAAGGAACTCTGGCAACGAACCAACGAAGCGAGAGGCTATCACTCAACAAATATGCAGTGGAAGGAAGTGGAGATGGATTAGATTGGGCATACACTGAGAAGACTGACTGGGGACATCACGCGTCAGGCCAGTTGCTCGAGTGGAATCCCCTATGGGAAGCGACGAGTTGGGTGTCCCAGCTGAGGGTGACATGGAGATCGTGCGAGGAGGAAATGAGAGCTTGTGGGCTGTTGTGGAGCCAGGTTGAAAAGATTTCGGCGGACAGAGTAGAATGGAGACGTGCTACTGAAGCCCTATGTTTCATTAGGAACCCAAGGCACAAATAATAATAATGTGCAACTCAATTTGTCACCAGTTCTGCGTGCTGATACCTATCCATTTAGAGTGATAGTAGGTCAGCATATATTAAAGTTTCTAAGGAAATATCTAATTAATTATATCAGTTAGATGTTAATTTGATAAAAGATCAACTAATCATTTCGTCTTAAAAGTGCATACAATAGTTGTAAGCTTTGAAAACATAAAAATACGAAATCGAATGTTAACTACTGAAACCACTTGTCAGTAGTATATAATCACGGATTTTGTGCTTGTGTAAACTCGTTAACACTGAACATGTGCATTTCGAAATAAAATGAATGAAACATTTTCGTTCAGACTAACAGTTCTAAAATATATCAGTGAGTCATTCAAGAAGAGTATAAACTTCAATAAGATAAATGAACTACAGTTCATGCTCAAGAATCTACGTTAGTCTTCAGTGCTGAGTAGAGTCTATCATTCAGAATGATCACATCTCAGAAGGAAAATAACCCACTTGCTACTTCCAAATGGATAATTTAATATTGAAAATCACTGTTTAACATAGCAATTATTAGTAATTTTGATTATTCGGAGTTATGTTGCTGACTTAGCTGATTGGTTACACTGATACATCCTACTCTACAAACTTCATTCATTATCGAGACCTAATTCTTAGAGTAATATAGCACCTTTTGCTGCGAAGCATTCTATCTAGGATGATATAATCTCGAAGTCTAGTGAATACGGTAATTAGTTGGATAACTTGATGACTGTTACCTACAGACATGTAACATAGGGAAGGTTTTTCTAAGTTTATTTCCATCAGAAAGAAAGAAAAGTTTAATTTGTATGGAACTTGAAGTATTACCTATATCAAATTCTTTGACGACTGATTTCTAGTAGAGTACACTATTACACCAGTCGCAGCATTTAGTAAAGCTTTGTCTTGATGGTGTTATGTTCTCTGAAATGGATAGTTTAATCGTGGAGCTTTCATTGGCATTCAAGACATCATCATCATCAGAACAAACTTCACAAAGAAGTGAGCTACAGGTATCTTCCACAAATGGCATAGTAGCTTGTTGTGACGGCCTTCTGTGTGATTGGTTGTTTCTGCCAAAGCCTTGTCATTTTCTTCATACTTATTCTGATTGGTTATCCAGCTGATGCGCATTGACGTCCGTGGTTTCGTATTGGTTTGTAAATTGGATAAGTTTTAAAATTTCTGTTGACAGCTGACTGACCTGAATGCTAAACTTCTAAAATTTCTCTGGCATTCTTTGTGTTTCCTAGCTTCAGGAAATCTACATTTTTGTTGTCAAATTCATGTCTATAGTTTTCGGTACGCATGGATATGACCGAATATATGCCATGAGACATCACTGTAAGTTGATGTTCATGTAGACGGACACGAAGAGGGCGACCACTCTCTCTACTACAGTATCTCTCGTAGTTTCTGTAGTTTATTTCTAGATAAAGTTTGGTTTGTCGTACTTCGCCAATGCATCTCTTGGCCCGTATAACAGAGAGTCTAGAGATGTTGTGGGTTTGTGAGGTACACTGACTCCAAAAGGCTTCATTAATAATCAGCGAAATCATCCTCCTGAGCTACAAATAATCTCCATCGTCTCGAAGGTTCGTTTGATTCATGAAAAAAGAATTTTCGGAGTCACTACTTATAACCATACCTTTTATGAGAATTTTTATCCAAAGAAGATTTAAATTTTTGGCAGTACAAGAAATCGAACCACCGTTATTCAGAATCCGTTCATACAAGCTTGTAAACAAAATCGAAACTGAATCAAAATCCACTCAGTAACCTTGAACACATTCATGTCGTAGGCAGTTAGCTACGCTTATTGTGTGAGGTAGATAGAGTGGTATTTGAACCCGCTACCTATTATTTGAAAGTCCACTCCCTAAAACCAGTAAAACATAACTCTATCTGCATGAAAATAATCTACAGATGCAGTCTGTTTTAAAACTATCTAAATTAAAGACCATATGGGAAGGCTAGAAATGAAATTGAAGTCTATGTAACACTATTTGAACTCGAATAGTTGGCTAGAATCTTGGTTGTTTGATATGAATTACTTCGAGTAGATGGATGATGGTTTCCATTGTAAACGAGAATGATAATCATCTAATGTTAACACCATTTCAATCTGGCAAACCAGTATTGTTCATGACTGATGTGAATGATTTACTTGTCTGTTCACGTTGATCAACAGTATATGTCAAACTTCGAGGTTTGATGTCAATTTTCACACTTCATACTCAGTGAAGTTAAAGAATTATAAAACTTTGTCAATTCACTGATAAAAACCTTTATTATATACGCAAACAGATATTTTACTTTTTTTATTTTCATGACAGAAGAAAAAAGTAACTGAAAGTAAACATGAATAATCTTGAAATTGAATTGTTTACTTTCAATGTACAACAAATATACATTTTTGTTTAAATATACCTGATTTCTTCTCTTTTTTTTACGAAGTCCAAAGAGTAAAAAGGTTTTTAGGGCAAGGAGAGATGAATGAAAAAGGTTTTTGGATAGTTTCGATCATTTTACATGTGTGTGTGTGTGTGTGTGTGTAGCTGTGTTTCATTGTTTGTTTGTTGTGTATGCATGTGTAGGTATGTATGATACAGTGCACATATAATGAACTTGTCAGTTTCGTTTATTATTTATTAACTGAGACACGCATACATTTTGTACATAGTATAGCTTATAGCTATCACAGTCATTATCAGTTCTACGAATTATTGATTACATTCTGTTAGGACTGTTACTACCATATATGGTCAAAGTATGAGAAATAGTTGATACATTAAGTAATTTATGGTATCTAGGCACAGATGCAAAGGAATACGCTCATACACACAAATAAATAGGCAACTGTTGTTGCTTGAAATTTCATTGGTTTCATTATTCACTATAATGGTTACCTATATACGCACACTTGAATACACACAAATATTGTGACCGTAATGTTTTTTGATGTAGATATGTATGTAATGTGTGGGCAAAGAAATCCATATAAAGTGTACATTTTTTTATTATTTTCCTTATGTAATCTACATTCAGTCTTATTTATTCACAAAAATAAAAAGAGGAAGAATAAGAAAAAGTGAATGAATAGTTTATTTATTTTCACATACAAACACTTAAAATAGCACATCTGTTCATTTGTTTTCATTCTTACAAACTAGGCTAAGTGAAACAGATGAATAATGTGTGTGTCTTTCTGTAAGGAAAGAGAAAAAGGAATTTAACTGGCATAAATGTTAAATGTCAGATAATTTTTAGTGTTACCGAAATCTTGCCATTTTAACACCAACACTTCAAAGTTATATTTATACTACTTTTTATTAAGTCAGTAGTGTAAAAGTTACTCAAAAATTATTTTTGTAAGTTACGTTTAAAAGAATAGATATCGCTGCGCACATAATTTGATGTTGATGTGCTTCCAGGTAGTGAATCTAGGTTCATTTAATTGTTTTTAAAGTATCCGCTTGGATACCATACCAACAGTCTTGGTGCCTCTGTAAGTAAATGAACACTGCAGTTAGTTTTTTGATATTCCTAACGTATTAGGGTTTCTATCTTTTGAAGATAGTTAATTAATACACTTATTGTGCATAGCACCATCTTTATGAAACAGTCACTTTGATTTTATTCAGTACCGGTAACTACCTAGGATTTGAATTTTCTTCTTAGTTTATTCTACTTAGACGTTAATTTCGAGCCGCATAGATTTGCAGTAATGTCATAGACTTCCATTCTGCGAAAAAAATGACTGAAGCTTCTGAAAGATCATATATGAACATTAGGTTCATTATTTGGTCTGATTGTGTATATATAAACTGATTGAAATAAATGCCTCATTACCGTCCAAATCTCTTGGGGAGAGTTCTGTGCTATGCTTATAAAAAGATGTAACCTAAGGCCTTCGAATGCCTTGAAGAAGTTCTGAGCATCCGGTTTATGAGTTGTGATCTGATCGTTGATATCTGCTGAATTCACTCTGACTACAAATTGGTTACGGTACTACTCAATATCAAGTATATGAATCACTTCTAATTGTTAACTCGATAAATCATTGCATCCTGTAAACCTTAAGACCAAGAAAAGGTATCTTGTATCACCTTATGTTAGCATGTCATGAAGGCTACCTTCAACCAAATAGCTGTCTTAGCTTGGAATATTGGGAAACCGTTCTTCTTCCTCTTCTAGAGTTGGGGTCTTTACATTGGGCATATTACCATTTAGACTTCATAATGAATTCTACAGATTAGAACATAAAAACTTACTTCAATCAGGAAGTGATTTTAACATCTGATAGGTAATTTCATTGGCGAAGATAAAAATTACTAGCGGTACAAGTAACTTCATGGTGGAAAATTCCCCACTAGCTATTGATGATGACAATGATAATCGATGGATAGATGTTAGGTTGGAATTTGGAAGAATTTTGACAAGATTAGGGAGAATACCTACTCGAAATCACGATAGCAAAACTTGAAATCCAACAAGAAGTAGTTAGTAGTTTTGTCTTTGTGTAATATAGAGTCAAACAAATTCAAGAGTTATGAGTTAATAAAGCTAAAATATAGGCTTTATGGGTTAAATAAGGTATATCGAAAAGGTAAATGGTTGATGCACTTGCTTGGACAAGCAAATCTTAGACAGACAGTTGTTTCAGACCATCTTAATCTGATTCTGGAAACTTATAGACCACAACTAGGATATTTTATGTTTTTGTAGAAACTAGATATCAATTCACACCTATATAAATCTGCCATAGTTTTGACAAAATCTAAAAATATCTAAAAATATCTATCTGGTTCATATTTTAGTGATAAGAAGCAGGATAATAATCCAATTATTGATACGTTTTTGGGGAATTTTTATCGTTAAGGTGTACCTTGATTTTTTTCAACAAGAAAACAGCTTGAAAACGAAGTGTAAGAGGAAATAGCAACTAGAACACGCGTTAGTAAAAATGGTTTCCCTTGCTAGTATCATTTTATCTCCAAGTCATTCTACGTTTTATATTCCAAATTGTGACCTACTGAAATAAAAATTAGTAGTATGCAGGATCAAACGAAATTAGCTACACAATTATTCACACTGCTGCTGGCTTTCATGACCAAATAAATCAGTTTCCATTGGTATATACACTTAGATACTGCCGCTCACTAAATCTTAGTGTTATCACGCTGGTTTTAAGCAGTGAAATGTAATTCGTGATCGTTGTTATATCTTACTCGGAACTTGTTAGTTGGATTTACCTGCACTCGACCTCCCTAGTATGAAATGGTTTCTGAGCATCCCGAATAGTTCACTGTTAACGTCGCTGGGTGATGCGCGTTCAGATCTCAAAAAAGAGAGCAATCCCACTGAGGCTGCAGATAATCCTTGATGACAAGTGGCAGCTAGCATGAAACCTGGGTTCACTTACTGCCGATTACTGCCAACCGACTAACATTCAGAAAAATGCTTTTCAGCTAACTGACCATGCGAATTGATCTATATAATTCGGTCAGCACTCAGTACTACGAAAATATGAACTTAGTGGCTCTTCAGTGACCAACTAATGTATCAAGAATTCCTTATTACTTGGTTTGAAGTACGTCCAGTGCTTCATCTGCTTCGGTACTTGAGTCATTGCCCATACTCATTAACTACTTTTGAGAAAATAGTAGCACCTCTGAACTAGATGAAAAACGAAGCAGGTAGGACTCTATGGAGGTCACTTTCATGAGAACGCTAGCATTACTAAGTCAAATACTTTATATGACACAGGGCAATGATTGAAGGTGAAAGGTAAACCAAGGTTGGTAGGAAGGACAGAAAGACAGCTGATTAGTCAGTAACTCCCACGAAAAAGTTGTAATCTGAATGTTCATCTCTAAGCTTGATCACAGGCAGTATCATTCGCGTTTGACTGATAGATGACCTTGTTCAAAAGGTTATGTTCATTTCGGAGGTATCTACCATAGACTGACATCAGCTGGAGAATCATTGAGAACCCATAAGCACTGAACAGCTTCTCTACCATAGTATGAGACTCTTCAGCAGTGGGCACCCACGAACTCACCAGGGGTTTCTAGGTTTCTTAGCAGCAGCAAGTGCAGAACACAGTGTCCGAAGAAAGTACATCCAAACTTCGTCTTTCCTATTGTCATCATAAAACCTTGACTGTTCTAGATGTATCCTGTATTACTCAATTATATCTACTTTTTGAATCCCTTGTTTATTTTCCTACCCTAAAACACTCAGTTGCATTACTCAACTTCCTTTCGTTATTCAGCATGTTTTCACCCCCGACCGGAAATAATTCTATCGTTCTATCCTTTGTAATATATCTACACATATACAGCTTAGGAGATGACTTCACAGAAAAGAAAAGTTTTCTTTACTGAAACCGTCTTTCCAGCCTTTTCCTATTAATTAGTGTTTGATAAGACAATTTTTACACACTAAACTTCGTAGTTAGTGTTAGTTTCCCCGTTTTTCAAGAGCAATAAATCTTGCCATGTGTCTTTCCAGTAGCGTGGAAACAGTATTCCAGTGTACAGTACCTATTGTCGTGCGACAAAGTGTTTTGGGTGCATAATAACATTTGTCAACGTCAATCCATGTGTGATTCAGTGGCTTGCCCTGACGAACTGGTCTGTGATTGGTTGTTTCCTCTGATTGTCATGTCATTGACTGACTGCATAGATTTTCCTGTTGGCTGTTCTTCTGCTTGACCTTTTGTTGTTTATCATTATTCGTGTTGATTGATAGACTGGGTTTATGTTGATTGTTGACTAATCTGAATGTCAAGCTTATACGAATTGTCTGATATTCTTTGTGTTTCCTCTTTCCAAGATTTCTATGTTGTCCAAATTGAATTCATGTCTATAGTTATCCAAATTCATTGAAATGAGTGATGAAATGTGACGTTTAATAGGGAATGACTGTTCATGTAAACTGCAATAATTGTGATCAACACTACATTGAACAAAGTGGTCGCCCTCTTCGCCTTCATTTACATGAACACCAATTGGCTTGTAAACATCATACACATGACACTTCATCACTCATTTCAATGGACGTCGATAACAACTATGGACATGAATTCAATTTGAACAACGTAGAAATCTTGGACAGAGGAAATCATCAATATCAACATAGGACCAGGCATTACTGCGTAACGGTCCAAGTTGCCACACCTCATATCAGCACATCAAGTAAAAAGGTAGTGAGGTGAAGGATGAAGATAAGTGAATGCAGTCAAAAGAAATATAAAGTACGAGAAGAAAGGAAAGAGGAGTGACAAAATGGTGAGATTCGGTATAGCGTCGTTAAGATGAGGATAATGTGTGTATACATCTGCGCCACTGACTTCGGTTCTGAGCCATATCACCTAGGGTCTCCAACCACTGGTTAGTCCTGTCCCACCGACCCCAACCACCTAGTCTGCATCTCCCTACATGGCTTAAACCAACAGTCAGAGACTTCATACATTGGTGCCATGTTTTAGTCTGGCCACCTCGGGCCTTTTTCCAGCCTGGACCCACCTCAGCCAACATTGTGTGACGAGGCAATCGGTGACTAGGCATACGTAGTACGTGTCCCAACCATCTCAGTCGATGAAGGTTCACAACCTCGTCGACTGACTTACCTCTTCTCCCCAAAACTCTACACCTAACTTCTGCATTACTCACATGGTGACACCACGGAATACGTCCTATATTACGAAGGCAACGGTGGTCAAACACCTGAAGCCTTTTTGTATCCTCCACTTTCAATGGCCATGTTTCACAGCCATACAGTAGAACAGAGCGGACTGCTGTGCAGTACACGCCACCCTTAATAGACAATCGAATATCACGGTGGCGCCATAGGTGGCGTAAGTTGGCAAAAGCCAGTCGGGCTTTTAGTATCCGTGCAGACTTCATCGACCACTGAGCCATCAGGACTGATCCCATTTCCTAGGTAAGTGAAGTGGTCAACACACTCAACCACTTCACTCTCTACTGTTAGCCGAGGTACCGCTGAAGACCAGTCCTGGAGCAAAAATTTGCATTTCGGTGGTGAAAACCGCATCCCAAACATTCTCAAATTCCCACTCAAAGTGTTCAGAAGACTCTGCATCTTGTCAGCGTCTTCACCTAACAGGACTATGTCATCTGCATATTCTAGATCTAAAGAAAATTCACCTGTGGTCGGGTCAACGTCTGTGTAATTAGGCGAGGAGAGGGAAACCTCCATAAGAATATCTATGATAAAATTAAATAAGAATGGGGATAGTGGGCATCCTTGACGGACACCACTTGATGAGTATAGATCCCTGGACAACTCACCATAGGCTCTAACATGCCCACAAGTGTTCGAGTAGAGAGCTTTCAATAACGTGATGTACTTACTAGGCACGCCTTTCAGTGACAGACATTGCCATAAGACTTCTCGATCAACGGAGTCAAATGCCGCCTTCAGGTCGAGAAATACAGCTATTGTCGGGCGTCTGTAAGCATGCCTATGTTCCAGGACCTGGCGCAGTGTGAATATTTGGTCGATACATCCACGGCCAGGTCTAAAGCCTGCCTGGTTTTCTCGGGCTTGGTGTTCCCGAGCTCCACTCAGGCGTCGGAGAATTATAGAACGTAGGATCTTAGACACTATGTTCGTCAGGCTGATTCCTCTGTGGTTATCACAAGAGGACTTCTCGCCTTTCTTGAAGACTGGGATGATGAGTGACAGACCAGTCGGAGGGGATCGTATTTGATTCCCATATACTGGCTAACACTTGGGTGCTGACAGAGTTGTGAGGGCGGTTGACACTTCCCGGCTGCCCACACCGTGGAAGGCTATTTCTTCTTAAGGTACCTGAAGAGATTTGTGTGACCGCAGAGCCCATCGGACATCTGCTTGAGGCCTGTCACACGAAGCCTTTTGAGTATAATTATTTTGAACTTTTGCATTTTTGGGGCCAGATGGTCGAAAGGAAACGATAAGTGAACCAACACCGCCGGCCCGGCAGACCGTGGGGCGTGGTGGAGTGTGTTATTTTTGGGGCCGACCTTTTCTAACCCCCCCTTCCACTGAGAAGGCAGCATCAGCATGGCACTCCTGGTCATCCAAGGGAAACACCTTACTGCTGTCACACCCCATCCAGCTAGCAGCAGTACGACTTCGCCCTCAGACCCCCATCATAGTGTAGCAATTTACACTATAACGGTAACTGCTTTTCGTCTAACCACTATCCAACAGACCTTTCTGATATGGTAGGACCTCGAGGGAACAAGCGTTCCACCAGCGTAGCTCGTTGGGTCATTGTGATATGCAAGCCCGACCACCACGTCAAGGTAGCAGCTATCGGTCGGGGGACAGAGGAAATACAAAGAACATCAGAGAATTCCTATAAGCTTGACATTCAGATTAGTCAACAATCAACAAAGACCCAATCTATTAATCAACACAAACAATAACAACAACAAAAGGTCAAAGGCCAAGCAGAGGAACAGCCAACAGAAAAATCTTGCTATCAGTGATATAACAATCAAGGGAAACAACCAATCACAGACCAGTTAGTCAGGGCATGCTACTAAACCACTCAGGGAGAAATATTGACAGCTCACTTCATATTTAAGTTAGTGATGATAGTGTCGCCTAGAAAACTACACGATTAAATAACCCGGTTCAGAGAACACAACACAACCAAAACTCTATTATTTATTGTATTCCGAAGCTAAGGCTCTTTATATTAGATATTCGACTTCCGGCCAATGTGTCATGAATTTGGATCTCACCTTACCTACCAACCTTTGGGTGTATTCAGATATTATAACTAACTCTCAAACAACATATGCAGCTCGTGGATTGGTGTTTTAACAGACATGTGGTAGTTAACTTTCATGATTTTTATTGGGTTTCCAAGTACTTTTCGAATGCATCTGAACACTTTATCACCCTGTCTAATTTTCTCCTTATTGTAGTGTAACGTATGTAACTTCAGCTGATGCACTCTCGTGCTAACTGGTAACTTCGTCCTGTAGGGAATGTGAAGTTTGCTGTTGTGTAGTAGGAAATGAAATAAATTACCAAGATACCTTGTCCACACTGGTGAGGTGGATAATCAATCAAACCTAGCGTGTGAGTGCTGACGAGACTATCTGGTTGACCAAATCTAGGTAGGTGGAGCGCAGTTCGAACTCGTGGACCAACGGTTGAAAGTCATCTCCCTTAACCAATGAGCCATAACTTTGTTCGTATAAAGTTGTTGGCTTATGATACTTCTGAGGAATTTTTAAAACTGTTAGAAACTGAGTTATGCAATATGACATTTATAGATGAATGAAAAGAAAGTCTACATGTATGTGTATTGATTGGTCACAGAAGTGCAACCAATTTCATGTTGTCTATTCTTGAGTACAGACCAAATCCTATCGACCATATTTTGCAATGTGGCAACCAAGCTAGGGAGCTCAGCATCACGGTGCACATTAGTAGATGTTAGTTGGTTGGAGGCGATCGGCAGGAAGTCCTGGACCTAGGTTTCGTGCTTTTTGACACTCGTCAGCAAGGCGTATTTGCAACCTCGGCAGAACTCATGTCCCGCCTGAGATCCGAACCCGCGTCATGCAGTGTTTTAGTCAGAGACTTTACCGCTGAGTTATTCGGGCCGCGATTCACCTCCTGAAGGACTGGCTTACATGTATTGATTGGTCACGCGGCCCAAGTAACTCAGTGGTAAAGTCACTGACTACAACACTGGGTGACGTGGGTTCGAATCTCAGGCGGGACATGAGTTCCGTCAAGGTTGCAGATACACCTTACTGACGAGTGCCAAAAAGCACGAAACCTAGGCCCGAAGCTTCCTGCCGATTGCCTCCAACCAACTAACTACACGTATATTTACTGTATATACCCAGTTATCAAAACAGTGTAATTCTGATAAGACAACATTTGCTTGGAACCTTTTGATGTCACTTATAATGCTTCTCAGTTAAATGCAAAATTTGAGAATAAGTTAAATAAGCGCAAAGGTGAAAATAAAGGTGTGGTGATTATCAGTGTATCTGAACAAGTTGAAAAACACTAATTCCAAACCGGTAACACAAATGGACTCTAAAATCAGATTATAAATAATGGTATATGGACACACTTTGATCAAGTGTAATGAAGGAAATGCAGCTGTTGTGTTGTCTTTTAGATGATAATTGAGGTTTAGGGGGCTAGAGGAGTGATCCTCGAAGAAAACAATCCGCATTGCGTTGGATATTCGAGTGATATTTAATCCATCAGACAAATCACATAACAAAACTTTAAATGTATATATTAAGCCATGGATCATACCAGATTATATGTAGGCTGCTGATATTATCTAGTTGCCTATACCTCGGTTTAAGGCTGCGGTTAGCCAATGAGTCTCAGTTTCAATCCACCGTTACATAACTAGTGCAATTCAGTGCCTAGCAAATGAAATTTAACTTGGTTACTAAGCTGGATGTGAAAGTCGATAACTGAAGGGGGGCCCGGCTCTACAAGCTAACGGCTGAAAGTCAGTTATCTAATTCAAAAGAGATAAGGTTTCACAAAATCAACACGAATTTGTCTAGTTGTAGCATTTGATGAAAATGTTGAACATAAAACCCCTGAATCTGTTCGACTAGGCACACCTCACAACGAAATAGAAAAAGAAAGTGAACAGAAATAGAATGGCATCAAAATATACAAGAGTAGAGGGAATAAATAAATCACGGTTAACCAACTTATAAGAAGCGGACTGAATAGCAATCAACACTTTAGGTCATTAGCCACTAAGGTAGAAGTTTATTTCATGTTGGTGTATGATCAAGAAAAACCGTTCTGGACAATTTCGTCCTACAGTTGACCTATCAAAATCAATATCCAACTTGTGATCTAATAGTTTTATATGTTTATGAAAACTGTATAACATATTTTTGCCTACCTTACAGTAAAAGGCTGGTCTTTGTCTTCTGAGGTAGAATAGTTGATATTCGCATTCAGTTCAAGTTCCCCATCGCATATTTATTATTATCATTATCCATGCAGTCACTTCAAAGACATACTCCAATTGTTGACAACGATGATATTGAGATTTATGCAACTGTAGTTGATTTTCAGCTTTGTCAACAAGTGTCTTTCAAGGCAATGATTTTAAACATCTCTAGGATCAAATACAAGGATCTCAAGTTTCATTCTTATCATTATCAAAGATTTTCCTTTCACTGATCTAAGCATTCGATATCGAACCATTGGGTGAAGAATTCGAGTCCAGGTACAACGACCGAGTTCATCACTAACTGTTGAAAAGTACATATTGGGTTGGTGAATGAATGACGATAATGTGTAAAGGTGATCACTTTCTATCAACTACCTTCAAGCTGATTTACAGTTGACATTAAGATCACTTACTTTGATCCCTTCATTTGGTGAATCAATTATCTTTACAGAAAATATAAACTTGAAAAAAAGAAAGAAAACTTTGATACGGATTATAATGTGTATTAATGTAAATTAAGTTTGATGAATTGTGCAGTCAATTTTCATTATAAAACGCCTAAAAAGATGATTGGTTAATGATATATTAGAAAGATTTATAATAGGTAAACAATCAGGAAGAAAAAAAAAAGTGGAATAAAATAACGTATATAGTCTTTTTCTTCTACTTTAAAAAAAGCGCCAAAAAAAAATCAATAAATTATCCACAATATTCAAATAATCTTTTCAATTGAACCAAATATATTTTAATGTATGTATGTATAATTGATTATAAAAATCTTGAATAAACTTTTCATTTATTGTTTATTTGAAATTTTCATTATATGAAACATCAGTAATGATATTAACACGATCATCAGTATCACATTGCATTTCAGCTAATATCTCCAATTCTAATTCTTCATCAATATCATCTGTTTCATATTCATTATTATTATTATTATTATCTGAATTATTTTCTGACTTGGCCAAAACAAGTTCATCTACTTCACGTGTAATCTCTTCTTCTAATTGTTCTTCTAATGATTTTGCTGAATTTAAACAAGGAAAAAAGAAAGAAAGAAAAATCAAATAATTATAGTAAAATAAAAGAATATCTAACTCATATTATCAAGGTACTGAACCGATTTAAAACTTATAATAGGTGCTAGGCAATTAGTAAAATATAGATGCAAGAGATGAATGTGCTACAACTGCGAATGCTATAAACTGTTAATAAACCGAAAGGGGATAAGAATATGTTGACTAGATAAGAGAGGCAAATCGATTGAACCTTCGTCGACTGTGATAGCTTGGGCATGTACAGAGCATGCTGAACCGCTGCCTACCTCACTCGATATGCACAGCTAGGGGAAGTTAGATTAGCTTGAGAGAGTGTTCACGGTGGGCAGACTAAGACATGGCATTAATCAAGACATGTAAACTTCCTGGCTGAAGTCTCCGAAACTAAAAGAATTAGCGGTTAAAGACTCTTGATAATATGGCTGAAAATAGGTTATAATGATCCAGATGTACTCACTCCTTGAGATTTTCTAAAGCTTGAATAATTGCACTAACCATTATCTTCAGATTGTTTATTCTTTAGCATAACTTTGTCTACTTTCATATCACATCTTTTCTATCCACCTGTTCCTTGTATACTATTTTGAAGTGCGGCAACTTCAAACGATGCACTCGTGTGCGACTTTCTACATTTGTTTTGTCTGTCTCTCTAGTGACAATGATAAGACCATGCGTAAACAAAAACAAAACCAAGCATAAATTATATGTTCAGTAGAGTTTATAAAGGTGAATAAAAAGGAAAGGAGGATACAAAAATAGAGAATATGCTCTGGATTCCAAACTATGAACGGAACAGGCTGGCTAGCTACAGGAAAAACAAATCATGTGTCGATCAAATTCCAACGACAAGCTACGCATCATCATTAAACAGAGCATAGAAGGCCAGTCAACTCGCTACCTCAACTTCATCGATTTTGAAAAGGCCTTCAGCAGTGCCTACCGAGAAGTAATTTGGCAGTTATCTCAACACTACGGTCTTACTGTCACAAACCTTTATCAATATCATTCAACACCACCTAGATGCTGTATGATGAGGCTACATGCCAAATGATTCACAATGCAAAGCTCAGTGGTGCCTGTGAAGTGAAGTGAAGACAGGAGTAAGACAAGGCTGCCCACTATACATCACCGATAATCTTCCTGATTGTAGTCGACCCGATTCGACTGCATTATGCAAGAGACTGTGAGGGGCGAGAAGATGGCCATATGCTGGCTGGACCGATGAAAAGATCACAGAAGAAGATTTGGATTTCGCCGATCATGATTTATGTCTAATGTCTTGTAGCACAAACTCAATGATCTACAGGCGAAAACCAACAAGTTGGCAGAAGAGACGAGGTGAGGCAGCATAGGAAGACAGGATTTCCTTGAGGTGAACGTAGAGAAGACAGAGGTGATGAAGATACCCAACCACCACCACCAACACCAACAACAACAACAAAAAGCACTAATCACCATCAACGGGAGAGACCTAAACGAAGTTGTCTCTTTCACCTACCACCTACCTAGGTAGCATCATTCCACCTACAGGCGACGGCACAAATGAAGACGTCAAAGCCAGGATCAGAAAGACAGCAAAACAGGCCTTTCGGCATCAATCTGAAATAATCAGTGTCGATATCTACTCCACTCCACTCCACTCAGCATACAGTGCGAACAACATCCGGATTTCAAACACTAAGGTCAGTCGAGTAAGGCAGTGCTTCTATGTGATGGTTGAGAGACTTGACGGGGCGTTACGAAAAGCATTTTCAACAAACTACAGACATTCATCAACAGCTACCGCCCACGCTCACTCGATATTCAAGATCAGATGCCTGGAATATTAATAATAAGTAATAAGGAACTCTGGCTGGCTGACTGGCAACGAACCAAAGAAGCGAGAACCTATAGCCCAACAAATATGCAGAAGAAAGTGGAGATGGATTGGACTGGACATACACTGAGAAGTCCGTTTGTGGACATCACGCGCCAGACCAGGTAGTCGAGTGGAAGCCAAATGGGAAACGATGAGTTGGGCGTCCGAGGCGAGGGTGACATGGAGAAGATCGTATGAGGAAGAAATGAAAGCTTCTGGGCAGACAGCCAGGTTGAGAAGACTGCAGAGAGGAGAGTACAATGGAGACGTGCCACTGAAGCGCTGTGTTCCACTAGGAACCCAAAGGATAAATAATAATAATAATAGTAATAATAATTTACGATTCAAACTATTAAAGAACGAAATCTCATCGATTTTGTAGCAAACGAGAAGACTCCGACTTAGGAAAGAATGTTTATTATTGACATCTTGTACAGTAGTCATCAAATATTTTACGCCTTATACTAAGACAGTCATTTGCACATTGTGGTTCATTTCCTCTTCTGCTTCTATCTTGATTTGCACATAATACCCCTACATTTTGTCTTGCCTTTCTCTAGGCAGAATCTTTATCTATTGCTGGTAGTTCCTTATGATTTCTGCTGCTCTCTCAGCATACACTACTGATATCCATTCAGGTTAGCAGTGCCCACTACATTTTCGCTTCTTAATGGGGTCTATACGACCACTCAACATACGGAGAACTATGCCAGGAAGCTGTACTAATGCCAATCTTGAAGACTAAATTTACTTTTGCAACTATGAATTTATAGTATTTGCATCATTTTGGATACCGCGTTTTATGTTTTGCTTTACCCTTGTTTACTATTACTTTAAATATGGATTGAAACAGTTAGTCCCCATTATAAATCTCGCCAAAACAATAAGAAGTTGTGGTATATTAGCGCAATAGATTTTGAAGAACCTGATCACACGTGATTGTAGTCTATTGGTGATCAGCAGAGGAATCTAGGACGTGCGTTTCGTCCTGTCCGAGACTCATCAGTAGGATGTATGTGAAACTCAGTGAGTGATGGGACAATACAGCTTTAGAAAAAGATATTGTCGAAAAGGGAAATTTCCTTCGCTGACTCATTTCTTATCTAGATACCTGCTAGTAAGACATCTAAAGGCCACACCACTGATCTGGCAGAACTATTCACTTTCAAACGTAAATTCAACATTACTGGTATATAATAAAAGGAGCTCCTTAGGATAAACAAGCGGAATTTACGTTTAGATGAAGCACTTTTAAGCCTTGAAAGAACTAAAACACAACACATTGATGTCATTATTCGTAGACTATATGAAGGTTTGTAAGTTTCATTGTCACTTAGAAACAAGATATTCAGTGAAGAGGACTCTTTTCAACAAATTTATTCTCAACCTGTATATACAAGAACATATTCCTGTCTGGTTTTATAAGGGTGAAAGGAAATGAATCAGAAGTTATATCCATGAACATTTAATCGATTCCAACCATTCAACAGAAGTCGCTCAAACATTTCACGTTTCCTCCATATTTAACTTTTAAAAACGAACAGCAGAAGCCTTGGCTGCCCATGAACTGAAGCCTGAACTATATGTGCAGAAGAAGTATGTACAGTCTTTGTCTCTACATTGGCCTTAACTTATTTTGGTCTCAGTGTGCTTCATTTTTTTTTTCAACTTCCCTTTTTGTTAATCTTTTTACTCTTATATTATCACTATTAAGTTTATTGTTTTTACATTTAATAGTTTCCGGTGTTAATTCATTTGATCTGCCTAATGATTGCAACTTTTAACAAAATACTTTCGGAGGTAGTATTCATCACGGACTGAAATCAGTTGGGGAACCATTAAAGAAAGACCTCGAAGCACTGGACAGCTGTTTCATCCTAGTATGGGACTCCTCAGCAGTAAACATTATCAATTTATACTAATTAACCTGTTGTCTCATTCATATTACCTAATCCTTTGATTGTTTATCAACTCCACCATGTTTTCACCCTTTTGTAATCCATATACATCTTATAAACGATTGAAAAATCTTACGTAATCCCTTTTTGTTATCATTCAACTTTTACGTCATTAACTAGCAACATCATTATAACTGTAACTGCCATTATTGTTACTTTAACCACCTATTATTTAAGTTAAATCTTCCTCACGGATTGGAATCTTTCAATATCATATATACACAAATGTACAGCTTATGAAGAAATTCATTGAAAAGAGTCCTCTTCGTTGAATATCTTATTTTTTGATGTCACAATGAGAATTATGAATGTATTCAAAAAAATGCAAGAATCCAATGATGATAAAGGGAATCAATGGGTTTCCACGGTATTGTCACTACCTAAAAAGGTATAGTAACAGTCAGTCTAGTGAAACGTCTGCCTATAAATGAATGCTTTTAGACAGTTAAAGGTTTAAATTCATTGAAAGCCAATGCAATCCTAATTCGCAAGGTAATTCGTAACCCATAAGCGTAATAATAATTATCTGTCTTCAAATAATGTTGATATACACGTCTCCAACTCACAGGCTTCTTCAGTAGTTGACGAACCTGTTAGATATCATTAAGAAATGGTTTTGTAAGTTTGTTGTGAAAGATACTTTTCAGCTAGTCAAATACCTTTATGATATATTATCCTTCTCTTTCCATTTATGATCTAGCCTATACACTAACAATTCAACCCTGTATTATATCAATTATTTCACCTACTAAGCCTTTGTTGCATTTTATATTAGTATGACAATAACGTATGTCTATGTGCGATCTGATTGTTCAAAATGTATTACGTGGACATACCACACACACGCACACACTTTAGGTACTCTTAATTATTATGTTATCCTTAGATCAAGGTCAAAACGTATGAGTTGAAAATCATAATTGTTGAAACAACAAAACCTCATACTAAAGACCTATAGTTTCTTATTTCCTCTCTGTATGTTCATTGAAGTGTTCAATATGCTGGTAATAGACCTTTCGCCATAAGCCAATATAGCAGTAATAAATATTCGAGTAGAGAATTGAACATAGCAAGCTATCAGAACGATTGAGTACCACTGAGAATATATTACTTAACGGTTTTGAAGTCGCCTGACTTAATGTACTTGAACATG